CGGTATCATAGATATTACAGGAACCATAGAAGCACATCAGTCCATACAGGTTTTGTTCACGAGTAAAAATAAAGTTGCTATTCTGCCATTTAGAGGGGTTTAATCATAGAGCATCTGATGAAGATTATTGATCAGGTATTTATAGAAAACTATTCAGGTTGTCAGCAGGCTTAATGAAATTAGCTTCAAAAGAATATGAAAGGTAACGCATACACTTTCTTTTCATCATATTAAATCGTATAAATTACAGGAAAGGGTGCATTTGAGCATTTTGTGGATAATTCGGCTTACTCAGCACATTTTAAAAGTATTTTGTCCTGTATACGTTTCCATTTGTTTGTAAACAAATGCGTGACAAATATGATGAAGAGCGGTATGTAAATGCTCAATATGGTACCCTGTAATCGCTACACCTGAAATTTCATCTAAATAAGTATTTCCCTCTGGTACTTTGGTACTCATGGAAGAAGTATTAGATAGCAGAAATACAATCCTAATCAATGGAATGATGAAGACTTATAGAAAACAACGTGGTGAATAACCATAGCCACTGACCTGGTTCTGCAGTTACACATCTATATATATAATCAAAAGATTAAGAGTAGGACATTAAATCTAAGTTATGCGTTAGTGGTTGCAAGTAAGGATGCTCATCAGCCACATAGGAGATTTTGGTTCCATTTCCAACTGATGCACTGCTAAACCTCGCCGAGCCGGTAGTAAGTCATAAGAGGAAGGAAGGTTAGGAGTGGGGCTAGTGACTTCATACCGTGAAAAATCAACATTATCGCCATTAAGAACTCGAGGCTTGAAGTCTTATGTTTCACGAGGGAATAAAAGAATGAAAAATGGATCTGAGTCTAAATGTAATTTCATCCCAATTTTTTTAAAAGCAACTATCACTCGGGTTGTTCAGTTAATGCCTATCTCGTATTAATACCATATAATCCTTTACAATACTAAGATTTAAATGACTTTTACTTTTGATCGTGATGTGACATCAGTTAGAGAACTATTAGAAAACCAGTGAGTACTGGACAGTTGTTTCGTCCCAGTATGGAACTTTTCAGCACTGGTTAGTTGTCGTGACCTAAGTGTCCTGGGTTGGAACTCCAGTGGGTACGTACTTCTGAAGAGCTCCAAAACTAGGATGGAACAGTTGTTCATTATCCACTAGTTTTCAAATGGTTCTCTAACTAATTTCAGCTCGTTACCAAACTTGAGACGAATCCAAATCCTACAAACTAAATCTTAAATAAACGTTTTAGTTAAAATAATTTCTCAAGTATGTTATATATTTACATTTACAGTAACTTATGTCAGTATTAGCCTGTTAGCACCTGAAGAAAAGTTTCGAAATAAAAATTTAAATCTTTTTTAATCCTGCAGATATATTTGTTATTACTTTGTTGAAAGTCAGCATGACTTATTACCAGTTTTCATTTAGATGGAAAAGAAATCACTTCAGTAAGTTGATGTAGTATAAAATATATTACAGCTCGAGTCATATTTATGTTAGATTGTGGTGGCGAAAAAATGCGATTCTTCAGGTGTTCTTTTCATCATCAGAGAACACATACTACTGAAAGGTATCTTCTTTTAACTCAAAGTGAACTGGACAAGATTTTGTTCTGATACCATATTTTGCTGAGGCGATCTCAATCAAAATATTAAAAACGAATCTATGTATGTAGAAAGAGAGTTAAAGGGACAGTGACGAATCTTGCTTTACCTCAGTTATGAAATTCACGTAACAAAGTATAGAACTTTATTAAGTCATGTATTCTCCTACACTTTCTATCTTTGGGAATTTCTATTCTATTTCATCTGAACGTTACTCACGCGACTCCTTTTTGCTATTGTAGTTACAAAACCTATTGTGCATTATTATTCTCCTCCTATTCAGACTATGTTTCTATCCAAAGCAATGGATTTAATTGTCCTACAAACAGTCGTTGCGGACATGAGTTCCTTCAAGATTGAAGATACGCGTTGCTGACTGGTGAGTTCCAGCAAGCACGAAACCTAGGCCCAAGACTTCCTGCCATCTGCCTTAAAACCATTTAACAACAACTCAGTATGCACCATGATGCCAAGACTTGGCCATATCGCAAACTTGGCTGATAGAATTCAGTCTTAACCAAACAAAGGACTAGGCGAATGAGACCAGTCACTACTTAGTGCTCGATCAAAATAGACAGTTCATTTACATCTTAATGATTTAACAACTTACAGCATTCCAGACTTATGTTATTCTTCATAGTTTCTATCAATTACTCCTTGTCATCGCGAAAAAAGTATGTTCAAATCTTTAGCATAATATACGTATCTTTGTATCATTCAGGCTTTATATAGACAGTTAAGAAGAATCCATTGAAATAATAAAAGATGAGCTCATATTATCGCGGTATATTTTTCGTTCCTGCTTTGCTCAAATTTTCGGTAATGGGAAGAACCACATCAACTTTTTACATGACATGTAATTTAGATATTCACTTAAATATTCTGTCCCACAGTGCGTCGGTGGCACAGAGGTAGAATGCTAGCCGACTACGCATATGGTTCGAAGTTCGATCCCCGCCAGAGCTCCTTTACCTTGCTAAGCCAGTAATAAGACTGGTAAAGAGGAAAGGTTGGGAGTGAGGCTAGCTAGCAACCCCATCCCGTAAAAATAAACACCACTGCTACCGAAACTTCATAGTTACCCTATGTTCCTCTAGGAATTAAAGGATACAATAATAATAATATATTAGAATCACAATTTGCACATATCTTCGATATTGTGCTACTTTTGTCTCCTGTACTGTGCTTCTTGTTTTCCTTTTATCTTTTATGTGTTATTCTACGAGAATCGTACATTTCTTCTCTTCATCACTAAATCCATCCCTCTGCTAGTCTACAATCTTGCGGATGATATACATATTTACATCTGCACCTACATACTACTTATTAGCCTTATCAGTAGCCACGCCACGCTTATATTATTCTCTGGCTGATCGTATAATGTTATTCTCTAAGTGGGACAATTCAGAGGTGTAATCTCTATGGTTGGTTGTTTAAGATGGAATAATCAGTAGAAATTTTAGGAGGGTGGGGAGTGAACTCTTTTCTGCTTGTTTTGATGAATTTTGCGCGACTGATTTTATCAACAGGTTTTGTAAACACTGTCTACATGCTTAGTCTGAGTAAATATTTGGTCGGAAGATGTTTTTTATGTTGCCTATCTATTGATAGACAACATATTGGGTGGCGTCAGTTCTTCTTGTTGTGATTACATAAACACTATTGTCAAATTCTTATAAACATCCTTTCGTGAAAAATATTATTTCCAAATATGAGCAAGGAGTTGTTGTACTAACATTTTCGTGATCGTTCTAAGGAAACAGTACCAGTGATTTGCTTAAAAATTTGGATTATGTCGCATGAAAAAGGAATGATTAGCAGAAACCCTTATGACTCAAGTACTCAAGGTTTAGTATATAGTTTATTTTGAAATTATAATCACAACCCAGTGATGTTTTGCTAAAATATAGGGAAGTCGAGAAGTTGTGATCACTGATGATGTATCAGCCTGTGACCGCACTAGATGACCATTTGCATAGACGCTTATAAAATTTTGACAGTCAGGTATGTAAACATATGAAGCGGCTATGAGACTGGGAGATTTACCTACTGATTTGGAACAGGATCTTCGGCCATCATTTGGGGGATGAACCCCAGTGAGTGTCGTTGTATTTGTCACTGGTAAAATGCCTTCTTTATGTCCAACAACATTACAGTCTTGACATTTATTGAGATTATACGGACAAGAAATGACGGAATGCTAAGCATCACAATGCCAGCAAGATGATGGGGCTTTCTTCGTTGTGCATCAGTTGTTATCTCATGAGTAACTGGGACGTTGAACAGTCGAAGTAGGATGAGGAGAGGTCTAGTCAGGATTTAATGAGAATCCGGAGAATCACATGTACTTTATGACCACCCTGGTATTCGGAATGGACTTAACTCGTTTCATGCTGGGGAGTGGTCAGTCGAAGATATCCAGCAGATAGGTCCTTTAATAGCAAATGTTGGATTGTACTCTGAAAGTTTAAGCAACCTCATTTCAATGTCAACAAACTTTGGTGACTGTAGACTGCAGATGAGTATTGGTGCTTTTAACTGATCGTCCGTCAAAAATTTTAATTTAACTCGCTAACACTGATGGTCGACCATACCAACGTGCGTCATAAAATTATCATTTTCACTCATGATCAGTTGACACCACAATATCTAAAATTAAAGAGGGATGAGTGATCACTAAAGTATTGTCTTAATGTCTGCAGTGTGGCGTTAGAAATGCGGTTGCGTGGGTTTTGTGGCAAAATTATACAGTAGTATTGATCAAATTTAGATGGATCCAACCTTCAAAGTAGGAGATGCACTTTTCAGGAATCACCTTGGCCAGCAGAATCTATCCTGAAATTGTCTTCATATCTCCTTAACCAAGTATCAAATGTAACATTGACATCAGGATAATAGTGGAATTCAGTAATAGTATTAGCAATCGAATCCACACAAGGGGCTATCACAGCCGGAGTGGCTTGGGATGATTCGACACTAGAAACTTCTGAGTGAATGAGCAACTGGATAATTTTCATTTAAAGTATTATGGATGCTTACCAAACCTTCCTTCCTTCATTCATTTGAATTCCTAGTGGAACATAGGGCTTTAAGCTTGGAGCTATGAAGTTTCAGTATCAGTGGTGTGTTTTACGAGATGGGGTCGCTAGCCTCACGCCCAACCTACACCCTTTACCGGGCTTAGTACTGGCTAAGCGAGGTGTAGAAGTGAGTCGCCAGGTAGTCGAAACCTAGACCACACGCATGGTTGGCAAGCATTCTACGACTCAACCACCGTGAACATTTACTAACTCACAGAATTCTTATATTATTCATAGTAGTTAGAAAAACAATCTAGTCTGAAATATAGAAACACTTTTTATTTATTCATTTTTTATTTAAATATTAGGCAAATGAATTGTAGTCTTAGACTTTTGATTCAGTTGACTATATTGTTGTTTAAATGAATGTTCATCCGTATTTTGGCGCGTAAAACGTGCAGGGATATGTAACGGTGAATAAGACGACAAATTTAATAATGATTTGTAATAATTTTCATTTGGAAGGTCTGTTGTGCTTAAAAGTGATGCATTCGTAGTTGTAGTACTTGTTGTGACGGTTGAAGTTGGAGGCACTAAGGTTGAACCATTTGTTGTCGTTGTAGTTAGTAGTTGTTGTTGTTGTAGTCATAGAAACTGCTTGTGCTACATTCGGCATAGAAACGGACAAGTGGTAAATTCCTTGACCAGTAGATTTACCAGTCAATGAACCCAATGAAATTGCTGTTAGTGATAAATTAGGGTGTGTTGTATAACTGTTAGGATGAAGTTGTAAGTTATGATTACTCTGATTAGTTTGTGTATGATTTACCAGAACAGGCTTGATGAATGATACTTGCCCATGTGTTCGTGAATCGCTGTAGGTGTTACTGTTATTCATTGAAGTAGCTGTAGAAGTGATGCCTGCAGTGGTATTAGCAGTAGGAATAGTAGAATTCAAGTTGGTTACTGGAGTACGGTAAAGTGTTCGAAAGGTTGAAATTGATGGAAGCTGCTAAAAACGTCAAAGTATAATAATTGAGAACTTAGTGTGGTAAAAAGTAAATACTACTGCGTAGGTAAAAATGGCCATTAAAATATAAATTCATCTTTCCTATTCACAAAATTAAATAAATTTGCAGGAAAATGAGGAAAACACTTTTCTTGAGTGAATAGTCTTACGTGATATTCGGTATTATTATTATTGTTCCTTTGGGTTCCGAGTGGAATATACGGATTTAACAGAACATCTTTATTTCACCTTGTTCTGTGCAGTCCTTTTTAGATGGCCCATTGAGTGATCACACGATCCCATCTATGTCACCCTGTTACATGGTATGAGACAGATAAATTCAAGTCGTCTCCATTTGCTTACAGATGATTACTCAACCTTATCTGTCCACATATCTTGAAGGGTTTATCGATCAAATATTCACCCTTCGATGGATTCTGTAACATGTGCATACTTGCTACAGCTTAACAGTTGTCATTTTTTTTGACGTGAAGGGGGAATTCGACTCTGTTAACTAAGTTTTGCTATGTCAATGTTTGGCTGTGAAGGCACTCTACTGGAACTCACAGAGCCGTGTAAGAGCTTATGGAGGGTAGTCATCTGAAGTGATGACAACCAGTGGTGTCTATTATTAATGCCCACTGTTCCAATTTTTGTTTAATGTCATCATAGATGTGCTAACAGAAATAATCCTAACTGACTTCAGCAATTACCTAGGGACTGACTTGTTACCAGAGAATAGTCTTGTTGACTTAGAGTATGTGAAGACGCTGATAAAATGAAGTCCTCTGATTACCTTGGGCAGCAGTCTTCGAACGTTTAGCATATGATTAGCTCCTGTCAAATGTAAGATGATGCTACAGGACTGGTCTACACCGACTTCTAGTTTAAGGTGAAGTGGTGAGAAGTCGCATCAGACCCAATGGATTGATTGCTGACAGAATTTCAGCACGGATACAAAAGGCTCATGTGGCATTTGCCGACTTAAGTCATCTCTGGAGTAGACGTGATATCCAGTTATCAATCAAAGGATAGGTGTGATGCGCAACAGGTCCCTGTGTCCTTTTTTATGTCTACAAAACGTGGCCATTGAAAGTGGAAGGTGTGAAAGGACTAGCTGCCCTTGATCACAGATATCTGCATTCTGTCTCACGTGTCAAACGGTGTCATATGGTGAGTAGTATTGAGATCAGACGTATAGCGTTAGGTAAGAACGATTAGTCAGTCGGTCAGACAGTGAAGCAACATTGGTTGATATGACTAGGACATGTGTTACTCATGTGTAGCCATCGCCTTCCTCGATGGACAATGTTAGTTGACTTAGGATTAGGTTGGAAAAGTGCTGGTTTTGGTCAAACCAAAACTTAGAATCAGTCCATGAAAACCTTGACAGTTAGTTTTAGCCACGTAGGATGGTGTAAGCTTTTTGTTAGGGGTCTTTGGGATTCTAAGAACCAATGGCTGGAGACAGCTGGTGATACAGCTCAAAATAGTTCTCAGTGGCTCAGATGCATTAGTTCTTTGTATTCTCCTATATCTACTAAACCGTCATGTTTTTTACATGTTTCTATTATTCCCCCTCCCATTTCTTTTTGTTATAGTGCTCATGAATCCCTTCTTCTCTCTCTCTTTCCTGCCTGTGTGTGCCACATAAGGTGCGACAACTTGAATCGCCGCACTTCTGAACAAAGTTCTGTGTTGAAACTCAGTCAGTCATTCACATATTTTAAAGTATTTATACACCAACAATATGCTTCTAAGCGTTTAATAGAATGACTACAATAAATAGACCAAATTAATTGACAGAACATAATGACTTCTACTCCTAAGAGATGAATGGATTACATCAGTTTTACCTTACAATGTGGCGGGATGAACGCGGCTCATCTAACATGAGTGTACATAGTAGGTAGGTAGTACTGATTAGCAAAAAGAGCTTGAAGTAGATATCTTGCTGGTATATAGGAAAGATACTCTTTTTAGTCTGAAAGTATTTCCGTTGAAATTGTATGAATCTAAGGTAACCGTAGAGTCCTAGGTTCGAATCCCGGCACTGTTAGAGAGTCCTAGGCTGAAACGAAACTGCTATCCAGTATTCTCTGGTTTTCCAGTGGTTCTCTAATTGATTTCAGGTTGTGATTAAACCAGTAACTGGTCAGATCCCTGGAAACCAACACTTCGTAACTAATATGATACTCACTAGCGACTAGTTCTACACAAGAAGTTACTTGTGACTCCAGTGGAGTCCGCTAAGTCAGTCAAGAGAACAGTTACTCGCTGATAACATTCGCCAGAGGTTGCACTGTATATCTCGAATTGGTAGAAGTCGTAATTCATGGGCTACTGGATCAGGTCCCGGTGGTTGAATAGTTAGCGCTTCGCCTTGTAAGTAGAAGGTGCTGGGTTTGGTACCTGTTGGGGTCATGAGTGTGTACTGATGAAGACTTCCAAACTAGGACTAAACAGCTGTCCAGTACTCTTTAGTCTCCTAATTGTTCTTTAACTGATCTCAGCTGTAATATTATTATTAATATCTAATAAGATGCCTGGTTGTTATCCAGGTGTTAATTTTAAAGTAATATTCCCTGACAAAGAATGAAATACTGATTAATTAAGGCCTCTAGTCTCAGGTATAAAACTTTCTTAAGCAGGTTTTCTTGTGATTTAGTAAGTAGTAGTATATTAGCATGCATTTTTGCTAGTAAACAATATGTTAAAACAACAACAGTTATAATTATAATAACGGGCTATTCATTATTCATTCTGTAGACTAACATCTCCATAGTCACCTATATATATATTTATAAAAAATGTTTATCATTTACGCCCTGGAGAATTGAATTTCTATATAATGAATTGTGAAATACCTCATCTGTATCATTTTACAATGGCCAGGAATAAACTATTCAAACTTTCCTACCAGATAATGAACTCATAATATAATCTGATAGCTAGATGAATGAGATGAGGAAGAGTAATGTTGAGAGAGAGATATTGCATTTGGTTCTGTGTTGTGGTATTCAGCTGACCGCATTACAGCCACTTCCTGGCTTTATTTCTTCCTCACATGAATACTCTTCTGCATATCCCTTACTGACAGTCAACCTGTCGCTTTCCATTCCAGGATTTAATGCAGTATGTCACTCAACACTCTCTCCAGTTTATTATATCCCATCCATTCAGATTTATTTCTGTTGAGCAAGACAATGTTGGCGGGTTCGTTGCCAGGGTTCCTTGTTGCTCATTCTTTCTAACCGACTGTCTGATCTTCATTATTGAACGAAGGTAGCTGTTGATAAAGGTTTGAAGCCTATTGAAAATGTTTTGCATGACACTCTATATCTCTGGTCCATATGGAAGAAATGACTGGACTGACATCAATGTTGAAAATTCGAATTTTGTTCCTTATGCTGACTGCAGAAGACTTCCATATTGATTTCAGATTAATGAACGTCTGTCTTGACTTTCCGATCCTGCATTTGACATCCTCGTCCTTGTCATCCACCAGGAGTTGAAACGACGCTGCCTAGATAAGTGAAAGTGGCGACCTCCTTCAAAATCCTTCCGTTGATAGTGATTGGTGCTTGTTGTTGTTTTTGGTTAGATAATTTCACCTCTGTCTTCTCTATATTCACCTGAATTCCTGTCTTCGTTGCTTTTTCTGCCAACCTGTTGTTTTTCAAGTTTGTGTGACATTATACATAAAATGTTCGAGAAGTTGAGATCGCCAGGAGTCTCCTTGTCAGTCCAACGTTTGCACGTCTGCTCGCTTCCCACAGTGTGTCACATTATCCACTCAACGACAGTTAGGAACATCATCGATGCTAGTAGGCAGACTTTTCTTACTCCTGTATTCACTTCAAATCCATCATTGCGTTCTCTGTTGTGGATCACCTCACACGTGACACTGTCATGTAGCTGCTGAGTGAGGTTCATAAGAATTTTGGGTACACCATAGTGTTGAAGTCGTTTCCAAATTACTTCAGGGTCAACACTGTTAGAGGACTTCCCGAAGTTTAATGAAGTTGAGGTAGAAATTTAAGCGCCATTCTTTACTTTGTTCGGTGATGATGCGTTAAGGTGCTACTTGATCCGCACTTTATTTGCTTCTCCTGAATCCAGTTTATCTTTTATTCTCTCCAGGATGACGCGACTTGGTACTTTACTTGGTGTGGACAACAGAATGATTCCGTGACAATTCTTGCATAGGCCTTAGTTGCCCTTCTTTTTTAGCTTGACAAGGTAGCCTTTATTGTCAATCAGTAAGTACCTTTTCTTCTTTCTTAGCCTCTTGCAATGGTGACATCAGCATAGCCTCTGCAGTCTCTGAATCTGTTTTCAGTGCTTTGGAAGGAATTCCATCCAGTTCTGTTGCCTTACCGGACTTCATTAGCTTGATTGCATTCAAGACATCTGCTTTTGTCAGAGGATTGATGTCCTCTGGCAGTCCCGTGTGTGATTTTGGTGGTATTTGTGAGTGAGTTGAAGGAGGTAGTCGGTTCACGAGATATTTCGAGTGATCAGCCCATTGTTTGATTTGTTTCTTCTCCTTGGTAATCAGGTTCCCTTGAACATCTTTTATTGGTTTCATCATCTGGGTTGATCTCTTCCCGGATAGAGATCTGGTCATCCGATATAATGTTCTGAGGTCTTTTTACCTGCACCTGCCTGTTCTGCGTCAGTTGCCAGCCAGTGTGTCGTAGAATTGTCTTTTGTCTTTCCTGGAACTCTTCACTTCTTTATTCAGTGCAGTTTACATTGAACTCAGCTTCTCCTTCTGTTGTGCATCTTTGCATTGAGTAGCCATCTTCTCTTTCACCATTCTCCTCTATAAGCTTCCAGGTATCCACTGACAGCCACTCCTTGTCGTGTCTCTTCTTTCTTTCTAGAATGGTTGTACACGTTTCCTTGAACATCCATCACCTTCAGAGAGTTCCAGTGTCTTTCCAAACAGGTTTCTTTAGTGAAATCACGTAGTGTCTCCAACTTTGATCTGATATCTGTAGTGAAGGCATCCCTTGTAGTTTTGTCCTTCAGTCTCCACTTGTTTCAAAATCGATTAGGGGATTTCTAGACAAATGATTGTCTTAAAAATGAATTTCATCCCACTGGACACCTGTTTTCTCCAAATCTAAAATCACTTAGAGTTTCACACTTAGGAATTCAGGAGGAGTCAAGCTGAGAACTATCAGATTTCAAGTTGATTAGGATGACTTTTGGCCAACAGGTGGTGATCTAATGATCAGTGACGACTAACTCCTACTGGTTTACCTTATAGGATCACCGCCATCCTAAACATTTCGTGCAGTGAATTGTGATATGAAATCTAGAGATGTTTATGTTTATTAATCACTCACAGTATCATCAGTGTATTACTGAAAGTGATCTATTCAGTGATATTCTTAAGAGGAGAAATTCAGCTTCTTTAAGAAGACCTATTTTCTCAGGAACGCTAAGAGTAGTGTTCTCCAGTTGGCCACTGGCCTGCAGAAACCCAAAGGATAAGATCTCGCATCTGACTGCTTCTATGTGCGTATATCACTTCACGTGTTCTTATAAAGCTAGATTTATTGGTCGTTTGCGCGGATCCTGTCTAAAAGGCTTCAAGAACACTATTCCACATGGTTGCAGAAAGGTAGCAGTAGCTCGATAAGAACTGCAATAACTGAACACCTTGTAGACACTGGCCACTCTATCCGCCTCAAACACTTATGTCATTTACTCACCTTTTTACTAGTAGGATCCCATGCATTAGTGGTTTTTCGACCGAATACATCCATTCGCATTCTTGGATGAAGTGTTGTTTTAAAAGGATAGGAAACTGGATTCGCCAGTGGTTTATTACTGTTGTTTCCAACTTTCAGTTCAATTTTCTTTGAGGAATTTTCTGGTCCACTTTGTTTTTCAGTTTTTGGTATTACATTAGAAGATGAACTCAGCTCATTAATAACATTTGTACCAATATCTAAAAGAAAGTAGGAAATACAGACAGACAGATTTTTGAATCTAAATGAAATATGAAGTTAGCCACAAACTTCGATCAATTACGAAAGAGAAAAATGATTATGGTGATTATTTGTGCTTTGAAATGTTGATAGAAAATATTCTACGGCTACTGATAAGAGTCTCTTCGAGATAGAACACGGTGAAATATTTACTAACCAGAAGTCTTTCAGATAAATCTCCTGACGAGTTGTCTTAGTTTTTACAATGCAGAAGAAATAATTGAAGTTTGACTGTGAATCGATATCAGTTAGATAACTATCGAAAACCAGGGAGTACTGGATAGCTGTTTCGTACTAGTTTCGAACTAATCGGCTTCACGAGCCCAGCGGGTTTCGAACACAAGACCTTCCGATTAGAAAGAACGTGCCTAGACCAATCAACCACTGGGACTCTAGACAATGCCCAGTCCATGAGTTTCAACTTCTAACAATTCGTGATTGTGACACGACCACCAGACAGTGTCATCAGTGAGTATTTGTCCTCACTGCTGACCTGACTGACCCCAATGGCTACGACCTTTCACTGGAACTTCAGTTAACTTCGCCCAGTAACCATTCACTAGCGAGCATCAGACTAATTTTCAAGAGTTAGTTAGTTACTTACCTAACAGATGACCCTTGAAAATTAGTCTGATGCTCACTAGTGACTAGTTACAGGACGAAGTTGACTGAAGTTCCAGTGACAAGGCGTGGCCAGTGGGTTAAATCAGTTCAGGAGTGATGACAAACACTCGCTGATACAATTGGCTGGTGGTTGGAATTCTCGGGCTAGCGATTTTATCGAGTTCAAGTGGATGAATGGTCAACAGGCTGTTTTTCTTCTGGGGAGGTTCTATGTTCGAACCCCTATGGGTGCGCACCAATGAAGAGTCTCAGAATGGTTTACCGACAGTTCTCTAATTGGTTAAACTTGGAGCCAATCAAATCCCGACAAACACACTAGTAAGGAAGTAATCCAGTGAATTCTGACTGCGTATTGCAACCATCTTTAATTGTATTTAAAAAGTATCCCATTTATTATATGATATGTTGGTGATCTTTCCAATATGAAATAAAAAATACGTTGTATGTAATGCTTGGACTTCATTGCGGCTACATACATTAAGGGGTCATTCAATATTCTAAATTAGATGTTTCAGGAAAAATACTCAAGGCAGTAGAACATTACAGACAGAAATTTGATAACAGGATGATTATTACTGAACGTGATTATTATTCGGCATCAACATTTTAGTTCAGGAGAAAAACTGTAATGGTTACTTTAAGAAGACAAATTCTCAATTGTTGGTTTACAGGGATTCGATTGGTTAAAGGTTTGACCATCAGCTGACATCAGTCAGAGAACTACTGGAAAACCTGGAATTACTGGACAGTTGTTTCGTCCATGTCTCAGACTCCTCACCAGTGCGCATCCATGACCCCACTAAGCGTGGAACCAAAGATCTTTAGGTTACAAGGCTAGTTTGTTGACCGATAGCCTGTGAATTGCAGCTACTTCCAATTAGCAATGTGTTGCCAACACTAGCCAATGTCATCAGCGAGTAACTGTCCCCTTATCTGGCTTGATAGAATTCATGCACCATTGGATCGGGTAGCAGTTGCTGAATAGTCTAAGAGCTCACCTTGTGACCTGACTTTACTGGGTTCGAAACCTGGTGTGTGTATGTACTGCTGAAGAGTCCCAGACTAGTACTCTCAGGTTTTCCAATGATTCTGTAACTGATATCAACTCGTGAGCAAACCGGTAGACAAATTGTCACAGTAAGATGTTTCAGTCTTTTATGAAGATGGTTTCCGGAACTTTTGAAACGACTTTTTTTCTCAAAATCTTAAGATATTTAGTTTTAGTAGCTAAAAATTCGAGACAATACTATGTGAATTTATTTAATTAATTTTTGGATAATTATGAGAAGGGAACCATTGAAAGAACATAATCTTGTATAAAAGTTGGATCTGTCAGATAGAGTATTCGTGTTCTTCGCCTACGCATGTTGTTTTTTCATCTGTCGCCTATGATGTCGTTAATTAACCTTCATTTAGTTCACTGGAAGTTGAATTCTAGTCAACTAATCATGTTAATTCTGTCGAAGACATCACAACTTATTATACCTAAAAACAAAGTAACCAGTAACCTACTCTAAATGGTAGTATCAAATTTATCATTTGTAAATTACACAGATCAAGTTGGGAAATAAGCATTTATTGTATCACACAGATCGCATATTGTGATCTTAATATCTTTGGTTCCTAAAGATGGTTGTGCTGACTTCCCATCCACATGTTGTGTAGTCTGAAAATGATAAATTCGATTTGTTTGTGTTACTGGTTCATCTAACGAATTAGCTAAATCAAACCAGGTGCACCGCTGATCAGCTTGGCCTCAAACCAGAAAAATGGCTGTCCTGTGTTTAAATTACTTCAATATGACTAGAATAATCGCCATTAACAATACTGGCTTGTTTTTTAAAATAAATAATATCGATTTGTAAAGATCAGTGGAATTACAGTTCACGAAAAGTGTGCAAGTTGTAATAAGCATATAAAATGTAATATTGAATTGAATATCAGATAAAATTAAGACTTCTACAACAAATTAAGGATCATTGAAACCTTGATGGCCAAAAGTTAGTCTTTTTAATCTGGATTCCGATAGTCTGACAGTGTGCAACAGACGAACTCTTTGAGATAAACTTAAGATTAGTCGGTATACAGCAGATAACTTTGAAAACCTTGCTAACATCAGTCTTGTGTTCTGTATTTACAACTTGAGCTAGAACAGAGCTGTGAATAGACCTTGTTTGTCCCTTGTATCACTACGCAGGTGGGAGCTTGGAAATCCCATGATAAAGACGCCTAATTGTACGCCATATGTAACTAGCTCCAAATGAGCAGTCAAACTGATAGGTACACATAGAATGGACCAAATTGGGTAGTTTGTTTTTAACTCCCAGATGTAAAATAGAGGTGTCATTGAATAGGCCTTGTGTTGTTATTTCACTGGTGTTATCACCGAGGAACTGAAACTATAAAATGAAGGCCCTTTTCGGAAGTGTTGTTACTTTAGATTGCCTTAGCCTTAGATTCATATTCTTGTCGATGAATTCCTCTGGATAACTATTTTCACTCATCAATTGTTTAATAATATTGAACACATCATTAAGACACTCATCAGAACAGATATCTCTTGCTCTGTGAACCAAACACTTTATTACACTGCGTCAGTGGCAGAGCGGTTAGGACTCTCGCCGACCATGCACATGGTCTGGGGTTCGATCCCCTGCCGACGCACACCTGATATCAATGGTCGGCCTGCAAAATTTGGGCCACCGATATCACATGCTGAGAATTCCATACTTGTACCAAAAATACGGTGTGGAATCAAGCTATAATCAAAAAGAAGTAAAAAGAAATATATCTCAAGGGTACAAAGCTCAGAAAATGAGTATACTAACCAGTTGATGTAGGTTTTCTATATGCACTTTTTCTTATTGTACCATCCTCTTTTCTAGTCATAAGGACGTCTAGGAATTAAGTACTAGCATTTCTTTCTCTCTCAACGGTAAAATCTATTGCAGGGTGTATGTCAATAAATTTTTCAAGAATGCTCTTTGCTTCATTTTCATTTTTCATAATCAAAAAATGTGTCGTCCATGTTACGACAAATAAAAATTCTAAAATTCACCAGTTACATCTTTCAAAGGCCCATTCTCTAATTTTGCAGGGATCCATTACGAAAGATCAATTGTAATTTGAACAGCTTAGGGATAAAGCTTAAGTCTTCAACACCATATAGTAATTATTTAAAACTTTGAAAGGTCGTTAAATTCCACACAATTACAGAATAATTTTCCGTTAATTACTGAAAAGTAAAGGACCACAGTTTGGGATATTATCTTTGTGGTCGATTGACTTTCAATATCTGACAGCGGAGAGAGTTCTGTTGGAGCAAAAGACGATTGTTACCTTATCGCGACTAGGTAGAATTTTTTTATTTCCTTCACGTTCCTTAGTGGAACATAGGGCTTCAAGCTAGTGGCTTGAAGTTTCTGTAGCAGTGTTTATTTTACAGGATGCGGTTGCTAGCCTCATGCCCAACCTTTCCACTACACCACGTTATTTCTGGCTTAGCGAGGTAAAGAGTGCGTCGGCTGAAGATCGAACCCCGGACCATGTGCATGGTCGGCGGACGCACGACTAGATAGAATAATCCAATAAATTTTCTTCCATATTATTATTATTCCTTGCGGTTCCGAGTGGAATATAGGGCTTCAACAACACATCTCCACGTTCTTCTCTTCTCTGTTGTCCTCCTCAGCTGGATAGCTCCATGATTGACCATCATATATCATCTCCTCCTCTCCACACGATCTCCTACCTGTCACTCTCGCACCGCCAACCCACTCGTCGCTTCCCATTGAGATTCCACTTGAGCAATGGCCTGCATTGCGCTCGATGTCACTCAGCGGCCTCCTCAACGTATGCCCAATCCATCTCCATTTTCTCCTACATATTTGTTGAGCGATCGGCTCTTGGTTGGTTTGTTCCCAGCCAGAGTTCCTTTGTTCCGGCAATCTTATCTTCAATATGAAGCCATCGAAGGCAGGCAGCTGTTGATAAAAGTCTGTAATTTGTTGGAAATCCTCTTCATGACATACAGTGCAAATTTCTGACCGTTATTTGAAATTTTTGTATTTTTAATATATTTTCTGTGCGTTGAAGTTTCTCCAGCAGTTTGATAGCTTTTATGGTGTAGGGTCGCTAGCTCCACGCCCAACCCTTCCTCTTTACCCGGCCTTAGGACCGGCTAGAAGACTACCAAGCTAGTTAACTAGGCGGGGATTTTCTTCCATAAAGTATTCATTAATTTCATCCTATAATTGTTTTCTTATTTTAAAATATTACACTGAGCTTGCTTTTTTTACATGTGAGTTACTATGGTAAAAGCACTTAAACAGAAAAC